CAATATACTTACCACTGCCACCAAGAATATCTGTGAAGGAGAGGCTGTGGCCAGATATTCAGGATTGTTGCATCGTAAACGTTCCAGGTAAACCAGTGCCAAAATGAGGGAGCAAGGTGTAATGCAGGCATCATAGCAGACAGAAGAAGCATAACGGAGGTCTAGTTTTTCCAATCCATCTTGGCGGCACAGTTCACTGAATTTTTCCACCGATATGCCTTTTGAAGAAAAAAAAATTTAAGGATGAAATTCTAACTCAATTTATCCAAATGCATTCTTATTCTAAACAGAATTTAAATACCTTCAAATGAGCAGATATATTTCAGCATACTTACTGGTGAATGGCAATGATGGTCGATCTGTGCTTGGCAGCTTCCCATAATAGAGTGTTTTACGTATGCGCTCTGCATACTCGACATACTCCGGTAAAAACTGCAAAGTACACAAAATACAATTAAAGATACTTAACCAATCCTTTTTCTGAAGCAGATTTAAACTCACTCACTCACCATAATAAACGTGATGCCACACTAGGGTACATCTAGTCCCATGATAACACCAGGTGGCATCAGGCAACTGGAGACAGGATGTTTTAACTGATAACTGTGATAGGATGTTTTGACTGATAACTATGATAACCATGTGACAATTATGAAAAACAGGATTACCTCTACACTATGCCCAAGTATATGTGTGTGTATGTATGTGTGTGTGTGTGTGTGTGTGTGTGTGTGTGTGTGTGTGTGTGTGTGTGTGTGTGTGTGTGTGTGTGTGTGTGTGTGTGTGTGTGTGTGCGTAAAAATGAAATCATAAGAGTAGTGGAAGACTTTTTCAGGGATCTATACAGCTCAAATGGACAGCCACAGATAGAAGTAAACACATTCTTATCACTTCTCCATCTGGTTTCTTTATTCCATACATTTGATTTCTCCCTATTCTGAGTCTCCATTTAGCTATTTTCATGCTGGTAACTGAGATCACTGTTTCATTTATCATTTGAGTACTGAATATCCATACATCTTCCCTATTCATTTTATTTATAGTCTTTGTTAGTTCGGCCAATTCTTGCTCGTCCCAGTTTGATAATACTTTCATGGCCTTACGTTTTTACATAAGCTGTTTACTTTCTACAGAGAGCTGATGTTTTTACTGCCCACTTCAATTGCAGCTTACTTTATTACGTCACTCAACTGTTTGTTGATTAGGTCAAGGTTGAGATCTCCATCGCTGAGAAGTGAAGCTGAGGTTTCCATACGAGTTTGTTCCTTTCCCTTGTCCCCTCCCTCTCCTAGTGCCTTTTCAGTGATTCCCCATTATGGCTTCTCCTATTTAGGCACGAAAATCTCCCATAATTACTGTGACATGGGTTTTTACTCATCAATATGGCTGTAGGTATGAGAATGGACTTGAACAATCTTTAAATTTTGATTTACCTATTTACCTATTGTTTTATAGTTACTGAACCACTCTTTTGTTGTATATAAATATATACATATATACATATATACATACATATATACATACATACATACATACATACATATATACATATATACATACATACATACATACATACATATATTATATATATGTATGTGTGTGTGTGTTTGTGAATGTGTGTGTTTGCATGTATGTGTGTGTGTGTGCGTGTGTGTGTGTGTGTGTGTGTGTGTGTGCGTGTGTGTGTGTGTGTGCGTGTGTGTGTGTGCGTGTGTGTGTGTGTGCATGTGTGCCTGTGTGTGTGTGTGTGTGTGCCTGCGTGTGCGTGTGCGTGTGCGTGTGTGTCTGCGTGTGTGTGTGTGTGAGAGAGAAAAGAGAGACCTGAGAAAAGGGCAAGAAAGTAGATAAAAGAATAGAATCCATACTCTTCACTATATGAAAGGAAAAATCACATCACATTGAAAATGCCTTCATGATGAACTCAGTGGCCATGAAGAGTGCTTTTATTATTCTTAATGCACTTGAAAGTTTTCACTGATGTCAATGGTTCCTAGAAAGCAAGGCTTCATGTCCACCACAGTTGACAATGAAAAATCAATGTCTGAAACAGGCCTCTGTACCTGTTGGTCTTCCTTCACCAATGGTGTTCTGACGGGTGCAGATGCTGTGGACATTGCTTGATGCTGCATCATTATCATTTTCTCACCTTTTACTCTAAATATAATGTGCTACATAATTGTTCTCACAATGGTTATTTAAACCCAATGATGACAATAAAAAATAAAATATATGTCGGCACAAATAAGCATTCATTAGTAAATGTTAGCAATCAGAACGAACTGAAGAAGTGGTGAGAGATCGTCATTTACCTTTTATCATTTGCCTTGACATATTGCGTCCATTACCAATGGCTTAAAGTGCTAAAGATGGAATATTTTTGGGGTTATATTTTGCTAGGTGGCTAGGAGGTAATGAATATATGATGAATGTCTGTAGCTGGAACATGGTTAATGTACCCTGCTGTACTTAACCCATTTCCACCAGGGAAAATGAATAGAAAATGAGGAAAAATGCTGTGCTCATTTTTTATATTTTTGTGAAATGTCTCTGTACATAGATGGCTCTGCTACTGCTTAGCCACAAATAAGTCAATTAGTAGCTCTTGTGACCTTACCTGCTTTCACCTTTCCTTGAATTGGCAGGAAAAACATATTTTTTACTAGTGCCATGAATATCGATGGTGTTATTTTTATTATGAACATCATAATTACTATAATGTTATAAACATTAGTAACAACAAAATATGATAATGTAAAATGTTTTTGTAAATCAATGAAAAGGGTGATCAGGCAAGACAGGCAGTACTCATAACTGGCTCATTGGTGACTTAGTACAAGTGTAGCCATCTACGCATAAAAACAATTAAACAAGAAAACTCTCAGTGGGCATGGCATGCCTGTTGGCAAAGGGTTAATGTTATCCATGAGGTTGTAAAAATTTTAACAAGAATTTGTTTTCACAGATATGATGGAATATAATTGGGAAAACAAGTTGTGCCTATAAACTAAAATTTTTGATAAATCTACATTTCAGTAAAATATGCTGCTGGGTATAGCCTGTCGTCATAATCCCATGTAAATAGAATCTTACTCGCTCTAAAAAACTGGTCGCAGGTATCTATTCTTACGTTAAGATCATTTAAGATCATCAATTCACATTGCTTCATCTGATTTCCCTCTCATATGCCATCCGATACAATACCTCTGATAAAATATTAAGTGGAATTCTTGGCTAGATGATATACGTCTTAGAATGTTATGTTCTATTGAAAACAAGGCCAGGGTGCATTCTGTCTAAAACTCACGCCGGAGGTACGCCAATAGCTCATCGAGTGTATGCCAATGTTCCCGATAAGAGTATTTTTTCATAAAGTATGATGCCAAGTTATAGCCAAGCAGATTGTAGGTGCAATCACATTGTCTCAAAAACTCCAAGACACGGCGGCACTTTTGAAAACTATGGAAGTAATGGGCGCGTGCGTTGTAAAGGAATAAAACAAACGACTATGTATAAGTGCATTAAGTTCAACTTAAGAGCTTGAAAAAGCAGTAAATATAAAAAAAACATGCGCCAAATTTTTTTCCATTTCATTACGTCAATACGCCAAAGAATATAATCTAGGCTAAATCCATGCCGACAGGAAAGCTACCTCCACGCCGGAGATCTTCAAGCCTCAGTGTATGAAATGTACCCTGGAAGCAAGGTCAGGTTCTTCAGGTTTGCTATTAGCTGTTATTTCCAATGATACCTGATCTATATATAGTTCTTTTACTTTAGTAACACTTCATGTCTGTTTACTGGAATATTTCCTGTAGATTAGCCGATGTCCCACCTATTAGGAATGAAAATATGACACAAATATGAATGAGAACTAATCATGCCAGTAAATCTATGCCCTCTATAACCTATATCAATTCCCTCAGCATTAGTACCAATGTTTTACAAATAATTCCAATAGCTTGAATCCATCGGAACTGTTCCATGAAATTCCTTGTCCTCGTAAACCACCTTTTAACCACAGACGTAATGCACTAAATCGCCACAACTGCCCTGGGTGTGATATCCCCAACACGGTCACATAAGAGCCCAGAAAACACGAGTAAAAAACGGAATATACACCAAGTAGGCTTACGACCTGCTCTTAGACCAGTATATAAGAGTAAAGACGTCACACTGCGCTTACTAATGACAGCCTGCCTTGACTCAGCGCCATGAGGATCAACGCACACGGGAGGCTCGGCAACAAAACGCTATAAATAATTACGCCCTTCCTCACCCCTTAACGACTCCCCGATAACACACGCGTCTCCCCCAACGAAACCTACGACCATTCCCAGACCTAATTACCTTGGAGAAATGCGAGGAGCTTAATTTATCGGGTGTTTTTGGCGTCTTCATGGCTCTCTCTCCCGACTGTGCGCATTTAGGACTGTTTCGGAACTTTCAGGGATGAGGCACTCGCCACCCCGACGGTTTTCGGGAGAGAGAAACCCCAGGATGGCTATTTAAGGATAAAGTGATTGGTGTTTCTTAAAAGTTGCTTTGGAATTAGATTGGTGGTAATTTTGATTTGGTGTGTTTGTAAGATTTATGGCTAATGAGAATTATTTCCTATTGTTTTGTTCGTGAACTTTGCGTTTTAATCTAGTTTATGACTGTAAATGAAAAGTTTGTAAACGTATTTCTGTAGTGTGACTAAGAACAACACTTCAAAATGATAATTTATAATTCACAATGCAGTCAGTAGTGAGAATAAAATTGAAATAAGGCAGCACCATCTGCGTCAAATAAATATCAGTAGAATCCCAAATCCTATCCTGATTTTTTTTCTTTCAAAGGTACTCTCCAATCTCTGAATTATAACATCCGTATAGAAATGCACTATTTCATATAAATATTATTTTTACAGAATATTCATATTTTTAGAATAAAAAATATCAAATGGAAATAGCTCAGAATACACAAATCATGATTACAAAATGTTGTCAAAATAACGCAGCTCCCCCCTCGGCCACCAGAGGGCAGGACGGTGCAGCGAACGGCCACCAGAATGGCTCTCCAGAAGAACGTCTTTTCGCTTCGTAAGTCACAATTATTGTCATTTATAAACTTGTGACCGTTAATTCGTGTACTGTCACAAATTCTGTTCCTTGAGGGTCATGTGGAGAAGCTTTTTGGTTATTTTTTCTTTGGTTTTGGGCCTAAAATCCGCTCTTGTTTACATACTGTGGATCAGCTGATTTCCCGTGGAGTGCCCGGCTTTCAATATTTCCATCGCTTTTCACATGTCTTTTCTGAAATATGGAAACATTTGTTCAGTGTTATGTTTGAGCTTAAGTGTACATTAAAAAACACCGCAGAACTTGGGGGAGTTTTAACCATGTGGTTGAGAATTAAGCGTTATGAAAATTTTCAGACACTTCTTGAGAAAATTTTTTCAATTTTTGTCCAATAAGTAAGAAAAATTATAAATGCAAAGGTTAGAATAATTATATCAACTAGCAATTCATAGAGAGCACATTGTCTGCAGGATCACTTGTTAAAACGACACTTTAACTGCCGAGATTTTTTTTTTTTTTGTAGCAGTAGATCAGTCCAAACCATAAGAATTCCAGCAAAATAGATTTTTTGTGTGGATAGAAATTTCCACTTTTAATCAGCGTCAGATTTTTTAAAACAATTTTTTCTGGAATGGAATATTTCTCTGTTGCTTAGCGTTGTTATACAGTCGTTTTCCATCGCATTTGGCTCATTGATGTGTGACGTAACTTGTAAATGTGTATACATTGGCTTTGACCTATATTTTGGGTAGAACCATTATTTACACAGCAGAACAGAACAATGACATTAAAATAGCTCTTAAATGTGTGGTAGAATCATTATTTACACAGCAGAACAGAACAATGACATTAAAATAGCTCTTAAATGTGTTTGTTGAAACTGTAAGGGGACAAGATCCATGCTTCACGTATACAATTACCACCTAAAATTCTGCAGTTAAGTCTGGGTTGACTTTTTGCCTGATTGACACACAATACAGATGCATTAAAAGTTTCCTGATAATCTTATTAAGAAAAGTTAAGAAAATTTTTAAAACACTTTTTTCTGGAATGGAATATTTCTCTGTTGCTTAGCGTTGTTATACAGTCGTTTTCCATCGCATTTGGCTCATTGATGAGTGACGTAACTTGTAAATGTGTATGCATTGGCTTTGCCCTATATTTTTGGGTAGAATCATTATTTACACAGTAGAACAGAACAATGACATTAAAATAGCTCTTAAATGTGTTTGTTGAAACTGTAAGGGGACAAGATCCATGCTTCACGTATACAATTACCACCTAAAATTCTGCAGTTAAGTCTGGGTTGACTTTTTGCCTGATTGACACACAATACAGATGCATTAAAAGTTTCCTGATACTCTTATTAAGAAAAGTTAAGAAAATTTTTAAAAACTACACTCTGGAGATTAACCTCTTCCCGACAGGTCACGCCGTGAGGTGTCATAAAAAACAGCTCGATATGTGGCATGTGGATGTACACCGCGGCAGCGCACCAGAGCGCTACGAACCAGTGATTCTGCTTGATGTACCGAACTCCCGCACTTAAAGTCGGCGCATAGAGTTGAAAAAATAAAAATTCCCCCCATCACCAAGGGGTTAATGGCAATGACCCGACTTTGAGTACAGGAGTTTGCTACATCAAGCCGAACACCCTGCTTGTAGTGCTTTGGTGCATCGCTGAAGCACACAGCCACACTCCACAGATTGAGTGGTTTGTTATGACATTGCAAGACAGAATTGGGTTAAGCTTTATGAGTAGTTGCTCAGTAATGGTAATTTATTGATTCATTGCATATACAAAATGTAGCCCAAAAAAGAGAAGTTACGTTGATAGTTGTTGCGTGTCTAGTGATCATTGCTGCCCATGTGGATATTGTTATGTTATTATGTTAATAGTTTACAACAGTCCATTTTTCATTTTCACACACACCTTTCCAGTGTCAAGATGAACTTTTATAAATTTTTTCTTCAAATTTTGCACCTATTATTTAGACTTACATATTAATATTGGTATCATTAGAGCTGTCAAATTGTATTTAAAGATATATTTTTTTTTATTCCAATAACTTTAAATTCTTATATATTTATGTGTGTGTGTTTTTCTTTTTTTCATATTTTTTTAAGAAATGTCAGAAATGATGGGTAAAAAAAAAGAAAAGAGAAAAAAATAGAAAGAAGGAAAAACAAAGAAACACCATCATACAGTTTAATTTTCTGCCCAAAATAGCTCTCTTCAGCTATCTTTCAAACACATTCTTTGTATATTTGCATGTTTAGTAACCAATAAACTGATTTCAGGTTATGGGCTAAATGCCCGTCTGGGTGCTGTTGTGGCAGTGCAGCACCGCCATTCTTCAGATGTGCGTTTTTTGACAAGGCCCGAAATGTCGGCCCTGAAGAAGGGGCGGGGAGGCCGGTCGTCCTTTTCAGGGAATGTTGCAACCATCTTTGGTGCATCAGGCTTCATGGGACGATACCTTTGTAATCGTTTGGGAAAGACTGGGACACAGGTGAGCTGATTAACAGAATTCACAATTGTATTTATTATATATTTTTCTTTTTCTCAATAAAGTATTGATTTTTAGTTTGTTTGTTTGTTTTTTTTTCTTTACTTTCTCTTTAGTAGAGATTCCACTAATTCTCTTAAGCTGTTGAAGCTGGGAAGGCATGTATGCATTCCCTGTCTGCTGTGATTCATTTTGTTTACCCATACTTGGTTCCAGAGTTGCATAATCACTAAGGAACTTGTTACCTGATTCTACCAGTTCACCCCATACCATAATTTTTTGGAATGATTCCATTTATATTACTTTTATGTGTTGTTGATGTTATAATTATTGTAATGTTCATAATAATGATAACAGAATTGCAGGGGACAGCGCATATAGCTGGTGTCAATGGTTTGATACAGTTTCCTTTATTTATGATTGAAATATTGTTTTATCTTGTTAAAACTCATACACATCAAACTAATCAACTGAAGTCTGGATTGCAAAAATGCATGCCCTGACCACTATGCTTTTTGATTTATTATTGTTTTGACACAGATAGCTCTACAAGTGCTTAATTGCCAAAATATCAATTACTAGTCATATCTTTTATATCTGCTTAATTTTCAGAAAGAATCTTTTTTTTATTTCTATTAGTATGGTTAATAAGACATAAAATAATCTTAATGTCTGTGAATAAGATTACATTTTTCAAAAAAAATTGACAAAGGGAAATCATGTAAGGTTACATAGGTTTACTAATTGGCTCCTTGGTGGCTAAGCACTTGTGAAAGACAAAATTAGGAGAGAGAAGATATTTTATTTCCTGTTTTCAGTCAAAATCTTTTGGTTAAAAATTTTGATACCTATGTATTCTCTTAATAAAGATAATAAATAGATTCTATAAAAATGAAAGTTTCTCCTGGATAATGTTTGAAAAACTGGCATGGTTACATTTTTCCACATTGTATTTCACTTTTACAGGTTATTACTGGTTCCATCATTGTTTTTTATGCCTCTGTAAAAAAAAAATTATTTTGCCAAAGCACAAACATTCCCCTTTTGTTAACTCCTACTAATATCAGGTCCTAACTTTTTCATGATCAAGTTACTGATATCAATACTTATTGCAATTTACACTCTCATGTTCTAGCTTATGTTTGCAAGAATTCAGCTAGGTAGGGAATATGGTTAGTAATGCTTTCCAGATAACCTTAGGTAATGTAATCATATGATAACATTATTGTTTCACATCTAGGACGCCACTCACTATAGATGTCTTCATCACAGATGATAATCCCATACCGTGGAGACCATTATGACGTCCGACCCTTGAAGTTGGCTGGCGATTTGGGTCAGGTGCTCTTCATCCCCTACCACCTCACCGACGAAGAGGTCATCCGCAAGGCAGTCAAGCATTCCAATATTGTCATCAACCTAATTGGTCGTGACTGGGAAACCATGAATTTCTCCTTTGAGAAGGTTAGTTACTTTAGGTTTCATTATTAGATAGAAGTTTTATTATTGCTGGGAAAAGTAATGTAAATGTAGCATGCTTTCTGACATGGGTGCCAAGTAACCCAGTACATTGTTTCTGAGTACCTTCAAGTGTGGTTCTAGAATATAGAGTTCTTTTATTTGTCAATTATTGCAAAATGTACTGTTCTGTGAAAGTAAAGCATTTTACTGTATTATATTATTGCACAACTGTACTATATGTTCTGTAAAGCCTATATAAAGTAAGATATATGAATATAAATTTAAATAAGGTGAGACTATATTCATGTAATATGTTGGTGCTGCATTAACTGTGAAATTATGAAAGTATGTTGATAGAAATTGAAGTACCGAAGTTGAAATTCTCACTCCTAGCTCTAGGCATAAGTTAAAGCCTTTTGATACACATGTAAAATATTAAAATATGTTGTTCAGATATAAAGATGACGTTTATTTTTCGTATGTAACACCAACATAAAATATGGTTATATTGAGATTTTGGAGGGTGAGGTGTGTATATGTATATAAATACAAATACATATATGAAATACAATTGGGAAAAAAAGCCTGATTTGGTACTATTGTCTTTTACTGCCACTTGTTAGTAGTTACTGTTATTTGATTTTGTTCCAGGTTCATGTTGAAGGAGCTGAGAGACTGGCACGCATCAGCAAGGAGATGGGAGTCGAGAAGTTCATCCATGTTTCTGCTTTGAACTCCAATGTTGAACATGAGGTATTGCAGGGAGTTTAAACAGTAAATTTTGTCTATATGGTTATGTATTGAAGTAACATTTTTTTTTTCACTTTGTTTCCTAATGCTGCCCATCTCTCACCATCTCTCATCACAGGGTTATATTGTCAAGGGAGGCTCTCAGTTTCTTAAGACTAAGGGCCTGGGAGAGCAGGCTGTGAGGGCTGCTTTTCCCGAGGCTATTGTCTTCCGCCCCAGTGACGTTTATGGCCAGGAAGATCGTTTCCTCAGGTAAAAAAAAAGCAGCATTCCTTTAATAGCTGAAGAGGTTTAAAGTGAATCGTGTTCTGGTCATTAATGATAGCTTATATGATTCTGAAACTTAAAGTAAATATTTAATTAAGCAGTCAAATCTTTCATGTACTATGCTGTTGCAATCTTTCCAGATACTATGCAGGTTTGTGGCGCCATCAGGGACGTCTCCTCCCCCTACCAAAGGCTGGCAAGGGTATCTGGAAGCAGCCAGTGTATGTTAGTGATGTGGCCCAAGGCATTATCAATGCTATAAAGGATCATGATGCTGTCGGAAAGACATATGAGGCTGTTGGGTAAGTAGTACTTTGTAGAATAGTTTTTTTTTTGTGTGTGTGTGTCCTCCTCATCCTTTCTCCTCCTCCCTCCTTCCTCCCCCCCCACCTCCTCCTCCTCCCTCCCCCCCAACCTCCTCCTCCTTCCTCCCCCTCCCTCCTCCTCCTCCCCCTCCTTCCTTCCTTCTCCTCCCCCTCCCTCCTTCCTTCTCCTCCCCCTCCCTCCTTCCTTCTCCTCCCCCTCCCTCCTTCCTTCTCCATCCTTCTCCCCCTCCCTCCTTCCTTCTCCATCCTTCTCCCCCTCCCTCCTTCCTTCTCCTCCCCCTCCCTCCTTCCTTCTCCTCCCCCTCCCTCCTTCCTTCTCCTCCTCCTCCCTCCCCCCACCTTCCTTCTCCTCCTCCTCCCTCCCCCCACCTTCCTTCTCCTCCCCCTCCCCCCTCCCCCTCCCCCTCCCTCCTTCCCCACCCCATGAATACAGTATTCCAGCCCACCCCTCTCATGGGGTTGTAGTGTTTTTACACACACACACAAATTTCCTTAATGCCATTGGTCTCACATGGATACAAATCTATAAGCTACATTTATAAGTAATAATAATAGAAACATGTATTGTAATTAACATTATTATTTCAGCCCTCGCCGTTATGAATTGGTTGAACTGGTTGACTGGTTCCATCGTGTCATGCGAAAGGATGAGAACTATGGCTATATGAGTTATGACATGAAGTGGGACCCACTCTTCAAGGTGAAGGCAATGATTACGGAATACTGCCCATCGTGGCCCGTCAACACACTTACCAGGGACAAGGTGGAAAGGGTAAGAGAATCCTTCCTTATCTTGTTTTCAAAGGTATTGCTCTGTCTCAGTGTGACCAAGTGAACAAGCGAGCATTTGTGATACCACCACTGCTCCCTCCTATTATTTATAATGTTGGTTGAGTCTCAATTATATTGGGAGTTTTTTTATTTGTTGTTGTTAAGGTAGTGAGGATCAATAAAATCAAATATATGGGACAAATCCCCTGGTTCTGGTTTGATTTTTTTCAATGAACTTGAGGTAAGATAGAATATGAGAGTTGGAATAAAGATTGGGTTCATCATTTGAACAGTATGTAAAGTATTGAAGATGTAGAATTCACAGTTGCTGAAGGATACAGAAAAGTGTACATACTGTAGATTATAACTGCATATGCTTCATATTAAGAAATCAGATTGCCTTTGCATTAATGGACTTGTATAAGGTACGTTACAGAAGAAAGATTATTAATCCAAACAACACTTAATATTAGAAATAGGGTTCTGATGGATAACCTATTTCAGGAAGCCGTATCGGATACAACTACTGGACTTCCAACCCTGGAGGACCTTGACGTTCCCCTGACCAAGATGGAGGACCGCATCAGCTGGGAGCTCAGGCCATTCAGAGCTGCCAACTACTATGATGAAGAAGTGGGAGAATTTGAGCCACCTGCACCACCCAAATACATTTCAGCAAATTGAGGTGTTCCTATTTAATTTTTTTTTTTTTTTTTTTTTTTTTTTTTCAATGACTTGAGGCTAAGATCGAATATGAGAGTTGGAATAAAGATTGGTTCATCATTTGAACAGTATGTAAAGTATTGAAGATGTAGAATTCACAGTTGCTGAAGGATACAGAAAAGTGTACATACTGTAGATTATAACTGCATATGCTTCATATTAAGAAATCAGATTGCCTTTGCATTAATGGACTTGTTTAAGGTACGTTACAGAAGAAAGATTATTAATCCAAACAACACTTAATATTAGAAATAGGGTTCTGATGGATAACCTATTTCAGGAAGCCGTATCGGATACAACTACTGGACTTCCAACCCTGGAGGACCTTGACGTTCCCCTGACCAAGATGGAGGACCGCATCAGCTGGGAGCTCAGGCCATTCAGAGCTGCCAACTACTATGATGAAGAAGTGGGAGAATTTGAGCCACCTGCACCACCCAAATACATTTCAGCAAATTGAGGTGTTCCTATTTAATTTTTTTTTAAATTCATTTTTGGGAATCAATTCTTGCAGGAATGTAGGATGAAAATGAAATGACAGCTGTAGTACATTCAATATTCTTACTATATTTTTCACACATGTCATGGCAGACAGATTTTTTTTTTTTTTTTTTTTTTTTCTTTTTTTTGATACTATATATTACTACATCATCAATTTGTAAAAATCCTGAAAACTCAAAGAAGGGGAAATCAGGCGAGGTCACAAAGGCCTACTAATCGACTCTCTGGTGGCTCAGCTCATGTAGAGCCATCTAAACTACAAAACTACAGTGGATATTACATGTCCTGAGCAGCATTCTTTATACATATCTTTTTCCATCAATATCTAATTTTATATATCAATAGCTAATGGTAAGGCTAATGAAAGCAAAACTAAGAGAAGCATGAATGAACTTCTAGGATAGGACATGAACCAGATTTCAATGAAAGTTTCAGGTTGTATATAAGACAATAGTTTAACTCAATGCCACCGGGTATGATGTGTACGTATGTGCTATGCCCACCGTGAGTACCTGTTTGATTGTTTTTACGCATAGATGGCAACACTTATACTAAATCACCAATGAGCCAACTACGAGCACCACTCGTCTCGCCCCTTTATCCGTTTCTTCGATTTACGAAATATTTTACGTTATTTTATTTTGCTGTTACTAATGTTGAAAAACATAATTTTTATAATGATGTTCATGATAAAAATAACACCATCGATTTTCATAGCACTAGTGAAAAATATGTTTTTCCCGCCATTTCAAATCAGGCGCTAGCAGAGCCATCTATCGGCTGACATTTCTCGAAAAACATAGAAAGTGGGCACAGCATTTTCCCCATTTTTTGTTCATTTTCCCCGGCGGCATTGGGTTAAGCACTGTGCTGAAAAATGCATAGAAAAAAGTCTCCCAAGGTTTTGATAATACTTTACGGGGAAAGTCGCTTTCATGGACAATGTACTACCTATCTTTTTAAATACCTTGGATGCTGCAAATACTTTAAGTTGATTAAAAGATATGAAGGAGCTCTATATACTATAAGGAAATTAAAGGCACTGAATTAGACTATACACGAACTATAGTAGCAATGAATACAAAAGTAAAGAAAAAATATGAAGGAGTTTTATGAACATCAGAAATACAGTATTCTTTGTAGCTTGTTTAAAGAAAAGTAATGTCTGACTGAAAAAAATCAATTTACTGGAAAACTTATGTAGAACTTTAGTGCAAGTCTGTGCAAGCTCTAGGTTGAAACAAAGAAAATACTAGAAAGAAGCTTCTGAAATGTAGGGAGAACCAAGTGCTTAGCTACTTGAAAATATAATACCAAACAGAATAAGAACAGAAAAAGAACAAGAACGAAGATTAGACCAGTTTGTGATGCAAAAATTAGGAAAACTATTATGTGATGGAAACATATAATTTACCATTTGTAAAGGTCAAAACAAGCGTTTAAAAAAAAATAAAAGTGACAATGTAAGCCCATCTAAATGTAACCAGTGCAAGAGGAGAGAAAAAATCATTTTGGCTTCCATTCACAACAAAGCAAAATAACCATTGTCCAAAGGAGGGAAAGTAAAAGCATTTTAGTATGAGCAGCACAGTACCTGTCATTGAAAAGGCTGTGATAAGAGATCAAGAATTGTGTCATGAATGTAAAAGATGTTATTTTCAGCTGTTCCTTCCAAGATCACCAGTATTCATGATTACTTACAAATTACCTATCACTTTTTCTCTGTTAATGCATTTTTTCATTCAGGCATTTTCAAAAACAATTTGACCAGTTTTATTTATTGTAGAGAAAAAGTAAAAAAAAAAAAAAAAAAAAAAAAAAAAAAATAATAATAATGTCTAGATACTATTTGGATGCTTTTAATGTACGGGCAAGAGTTGGAGTTCCTACTTATCAGTTTTGGGAGATGAAAGGACATAGCTGTCTAATCAATGGTTATATAAAGTGCTATAATTTTCAATAACACTTGCCAGTGTGCAGTGTGCAAAAGGGTGCAAGAAAATGAAGGTGAATAACATTGCTTTATTAAGAATCCTGTGTATGAAATACAACTGCATAATGGAAAATGTGATTTAGATGGCAGTTTCACTGCAGAAGTATCAAACTTCATAAAATGCAGTAAGGATTTTCTGTTTCATTTAACAAGTACTTACTTCGCATAAATGCTTGACTAAATATATTTTGCAAGTAAATATACATACAAATAAAATATCTGATATTTTAAATTACAGTTTCACTGTTAATTATTAAATTTATGCGAGTACCAATTCATAATTATAGTAAACTTTTCTACAGCATTTTGATATTTTTGATGTAATAGTAACAATTTTGTTTTGTAAACATTATGTAAGTAAAACAGTAATTGTTTGACAAAACTGAAAGCAAACATTAGTAAACAGAGTTGTTCTATAAAATCGAAAGCAGTTTTAACAATGCCAACTACAAACTAGGAGCTACTACTACACCAAGTATCCCACTATCATGCACCCAGGAAAGCTGTCCAAGTACATGTGGTTTACCAGGAGAACCACTTTGCCCTGATACCAAATGTTGCAAGCCATCAGGATTTACAACCATATAATTTCTTAAACATTTGCTAATAAATTTCTCCTCCTTTACAATTCTCACAAACAAGCTTTCATAACATCAATTTCACATTAGCAAGTAGGCAACTACTTTCTGTGTACTTATAAAATGTGTTCATAATAAATATGAAAATTAATGTTCCAGGATTCCCAAGTAAGAAAATAAAAATTCCTGTTTGAACAATGTTGAAATGGCATTACACCATAACCCTAATAGGAACATTATGGAATGTGTGAATTACTTCAACTTCTCCACAAGCATCTTCTCCAACTTGACAGCATCTACAGCAAACTTGCGGATTCCCTCCGAGAGTTTGTCGGTAGCCATCTGGTCTTCGTTCATTTCCCAGCGGAATTTGGGCTCCGTCATTTCAACCTTTTCCAAATCATGTTTCTTTGCTGTTGAAATTACACCATACTTATTAGATTCTAAATTTTAATAATAATAACAATATAAAGCATGTTGATGATAATGTTTGTGAGCAAACTATAGCACTACAAAACTTTGTCACAAAAAATCTAATTGGCTACAAAATCTGGGGTTAAAGAAATTCACTAAGTTTTCTTAGTTTGTTTGCAGAAATACTGTGAGTAGGAAGTGTATATTATATATATATATATAAACAGACCAGACCAGACCCTTAAGCTGCAACCTTGCAAATACTTAAAATGTAAGGAAAGGAGAACTTACCACTAGCTTCAGACAGACGCTGTGTCACTGGTTCTGACGAGTTCTGAAGTTGCTCCAAGAGTTTTGGACTAATGGTCAGAAGGTCACATCCAGCAAGCTCCCGGATTTCACCTTAAAAGGAGAGTAATTTACAATTTTACTTAAGCAGAAGGAAAATGAAGACAAATCATTCCCACTTTCCACATATAACAAAGAAAAGAGAGAAGAAGGAAATAGAAAAGAAAAGAAAAGAAAGCAAGGATGATAGAAAAAGCTCTTACCATCATTTCTGAAGGAAGCACCCATAACCACTGTCTTGTATCCAAACTTCTTATAGTAGTTGTAGATTTTGGTGACACTCTTAACACCAGGATCTTCATGAGCTTCATAAGTTTTTTGGCCTGTGTTTGCCACATACCTGTTGATGTCAGTTGAACTTGTATGAAACTGAATGGCATTAAAAGGAGCTTATGTATCCCCATTATATATATTGTATTCATGATGTGTGGTTATCATGTTCTGAAATACAGCTAAATTTATGTGAATAAAAATAGATCTTCCATAAGAATGCTGTAAACCAAATGTGATATACATTCAGAACTGAATTAAAGCTTCAAAAATAGCCTGACATGCAAGACTTTCATATTATAAAAAATGAATCTTTAAAAAATATGCAGTCCCTAATAATAATACAACAAAAAAGGAATTAAAATGACCCCACCACTCACCAGTCAAGGATACGGCCAACGAAGGGGGAAATGAGAGTCACTCCTGCCTCTGCACATGCCACAGCCTGGGCAAAGCTAAACAAGAGGGTGAGGTTGCAGTGGATTCCATGCTCCTCTTCCAGCTCTCTGGAAAAAAATAATTTCAATTATATTCATGGGAGATTAAATAGATTAAAGTTAAAGTTAAAAGTTAATCAAGATGCTCCAATACAATCAATAAAAAAACTACCAAATACCCAAATTTGTTTAAACATATATATTTTTACCTTTTTTATCAATATTTGTAAAATACAGACATACATACTTCCAGAAAAAATATCAATTAGGCAATTCTTACTTTGCTGCACTAATGCCTTCCCAGGTGGATGCCAACTTGATTAGGATACGTTCCTTATCGATGCCTTCCTCAGCAAACATGGAGATGAATTTCCTGGCCTTGCTGACACTGGCTGCTTTGTCAAAGCTCAGTCGAGCATCAACTTCAATGCTAACACGTCCTGGGACAATCT